ATCCTCTGCTTACAATGACAAACAATTCACAGGAAACATTAGCACTCTTGCTTGGCAGGAGTGCATGCAGTATTACTAACACAATTAAAGCAAGAAATAAGTGTCTCACCTGTGCAAAAATGATTTTGGCAAGCACTGTGAAGACCACACACACTGCTGCCAAACTGAGGGGAATATGGAGAGCACTTCATATAAGTAGGCAGCGTCCAGTAGCTTGGTAGGGCACAGCGCATGAGCAGGGTGAACAGAGATGATGCTTGGAACAATGGTTCAGAGTTCGCTGGTGCTTGGGCTCCTTGACCTCGTCAGGAACGTTCCTTGAGCAGCCTCACTCACACGAAATGACAGACCGTGCCGAAGAATTTCTGCACCGGTGCAAAAAAAAAATTATTTTGGTGAGTTTTGTCTAGACTGCATGCGCTGCTTGCCAAATTGCAATGAAGGGCTAGAAACGCATGGCCAACATATATTTAGTGGCACGCAACTGAGAAATACAAAAAGGGCATGCTGCAGTATAAATACAACGAAAAGCATGCTGTTGCAGAGCTTTTCATGTCAATGTCAAACATGTGAATTTTCATTCACCTTTATAGCTCGCTCATGCACGAAGATGAAGTTAGAACTCTTAGATGAAAACACCCCCTTTTAGCTGTATCGACTGCGCGTAATCAAGAGATAAGCATGCGTGAGTAATGCTGTTGCCTGCAATCAATAAATTCTGTTCTTGAAGCTGACCAAATATATGCACGAGTGCATCCATAGAGGCACATTTGCATTTCTAAAGTTATGATACCCATGTGATGTGTTTCTTAGGTGAATGCCACGCAATATGCACCATATGAATATTTTATTACGTAAAATTGCAATACCACTGCATATACATGTCAGTATGCGCATATGCATCCACTGCAGATAAAGCATAAAATGAAAGCAATACTGACACAGGATTTTTTTACCAAGGTAGTGGAGGGCTCCAGAAATTTCGACCACCTGGGGTTCTTTAACGTGCACCCAAATCTGAGAACACAGGCCTACAGCATTTTCACCTTCATCAAAAAAGCAGCCAGCAAGGCCGGAATATCATCCTGCGACTTTCGGGTGAGAAACCGAGTACCTTGGCGACTAAACCACTGCGACAGGACTTCAGTCTCCCTGTTCCCCCTTGTAGGGTGACAGACCGGCTTTGCTGGTCTGGCTAACCTCCCTGCCTTTCCGTCTCTACCATTTATTCTCATGAGTTCAACGAAAGGAGCTTTCTTCAAACGGCTAACATTCGTTTGTTTATAATTTGCCTGAAATTGAGTTCACTAAATGAATATTGTGTGCTGCTTCATAGTGATCATTGATCTAAATTGTTCTGGTTGGCTAAAAGGCACTACTCCTCACTTCTAATCAAACAGCAAAAGATGTATAATGACCATAGGGAGGAAAAGTGGAAATGCTAAGACAAAACATCAATCTGGAACCCCATGCCATCACAATGAAGCAGGCAAGCTTCTGCAATATTGACCGGCAACCAGGATCTCAGACACTGCAGATAGGTACATAACGTAATGGTTTCCCAACATGACTAAAAGGCAGCAGAATCAGATATTGCCTAGCCTGCTTCATTATGATGAAGTTACGTTATTGGCCTCTGTATTGGCCTCTGTATGCTAATAACCACAACGTTATTGGCCTCTGTATACTAATAACAATTTACCTTGAAAATCATGTGACAATAACATTCAGTACGAGGTCATGAATCTTGCATCCTACCATGTGGTCTAAGTACCAACAAGGTGGTTTTAGTGACGTCGGTGCAAGCCAATAAACAACAATGACTTGGTGAACATTATTTTTGATATTATTCAATTTGTCTGATGCGTACATCTTCAAAAAACGGCAGTTTAGATTTCTTCATTCTTAGATCAATACAATGTCTAAGTTTGCATGTCAGCAGCAACATATGCACGCCTTAGGCACGCATACTGTGATGTATAACCTTATTGTGTTTTGAGCAATAAATTAGGTATTCATACACTGCACATATCACAGGTCACTTGTAAACCTGCAGCGAGGTCATAAAGAATTTATGATATCGGATAAAGCGTTACACTTGTATTCGAATGTGTCATTAGAGGTTGTGGTAGAACTTCGTTTTAGAATGTTTGTAGACGTAAAGGTATTCGGCAAAGTTTTAACTCCAAAGCGGGCTACAACGCCCACAATTCTTAAAAACCAGAACAATTCAATGATAGATGAAAGGAGGGGAACAAGCAGTACCACCAAAATCGCACTCGAACGAGTGAACTACTGCTCAATTTAGCGCTTGCATAGCTAAGGTACGGCTATTTGGCCACTCATAGACAAAATGTATTGGCCCAGGCGTAATTGCACGCCTTGAGAACCGCACCTACAGCACGCTGTGTCAAGTTTACGCACACTTAGTTAAGCTGAATATCATGGTAATTTAATATTATACGTGCCCAGTGGATGCAAACACATTTGGTCACACAGGAAAACACATCTACCCTATAGTAGTCACACACATTTATTGATCATGTAGCTGTTGAAAAGAGGACGCGTAACATATAAAACTTTCTTCATATACTTCTTTGGCACAGAAAACGAACAAGGCCGCGTAAATACCGAAGCGTACACCACGTTATTCTTCTCCATTCTTCTAAATTAAATACGCAAAAGTCTAATTCAACGCGAGTCACCGTCACGCGACACACAGACGACGCTTATGGCTTCCAGGCGCAGTCCTCGAACGGCGTCCGACGGCATTGCAAAAATATAGTGATTCATAGCGTGCAGAGCATCGCCCGCCGACTAACAGCTGCACAGCGCACATTGCTTTAACCTCCTTCCCCACAGAAAAAAATCATCCGCGCGTAACGTCTCTGAGCTTAGACTTGAGCCTAATGAAATCAGACACGCCAGCAGGCTCGCTACGTTAATAAAAACTCACTTGTCGTCTACCAGCTAGGAAAACCTTAGTTCACACCGTTATTATACTATAGCGCTTTCGGTGTTAACCGCGGGAAGAGCCAAGGACGCGAGCGGAAGCACAGCAGCCTGGATCGGGCACGCCGCGGCCTTGGCCGGAGAAGCAAAAAACAAAGCGTCGACAGCAGAAACATCCACCTACCTTTTTAGTTTGGCGAGCGCTCGACGGTACGAATCAGCCGGTCCTCTCTTGAGTATAGTGCATCTTCGTAACAAGCAGCACCGACAGAACACGAAAGACAGCGCAAGCACACTTTTAACAACATAAAAAATTGACTTTAAACGCTCGGCACACGGCCGTTGCGGCCTCCAGGAATATTCCGCCATTTCTATCCTTCTGGCGCTACCGATCCGCATTTGCGCACATAATCTTTTATATGATGAGTAAATGGATTGTTTCTGCTTAAATTTATAGTAAGAAGTAGTGAAAATAGAAGATACGCTAGTGTGCATTGTATAGAATATTTTTTTACCTTTGAAAATGAAAAAAAGATATAACGCGTATTCGCGCGAAATTTGAAACGTTTGCTTGCTTGTGTATTTCTTATACCAATACCTTGTTAACATCTGTACATTGGTTGAGTAGTTAAGCAAGCTGTTAAAAACAGTGTTAAAGCGGTTGTATATTAGTACAAAGTACAGGCAGCAAGCAAAATTTGTCACAACAAAATAAGCGTATTAGTTGGCAAACAATATTTTAGCTGTCTTTAGTGAATTTGTTTAGGAAAATGTTTTAGTCAAGGCTCATTTTAACTTGCTTTGAAGAATATTTCTAATAAAAATCAAGAAAATGTTCCTTTATTGTTATAATATTACAACGTCAAAGTCCATAGCCCGCCATAAAAATTGGTAACACGTGTCAACTGATACATTGTAAGGTTAACAAATATTTGTGCAACACAAAAACTATTTTATCTACCACGGTCTTGTTAGTTTGTATTTCTTTGCATTAAGAAATGTATGATTTATATATAATGTCATGGACGAAGCTTTGCTTGTAATGCTAGCCGCAAACGAGGCCGAGAGCTCTATATGTGTAAGTCACAATCCTGTTGTAGCTCTACAAGCTGCGTACTCCACCATTGGCTAGTGAGCTTGTAGCGCATAGCTTGGTCAGCGCCGACCATGAGGCGACGAGAAAAAGGCAGCAAGAATGCAAGAACCAGTACAGAACTTACGTTCAGCCGGGCACTATCGCTACTCAGATATCCGTTACTGCGGTGGGGCTATTAATGAGACCATGGTGTCTAACCAGTAGACCTCTAAAAGGTGTTGGTTATGCTCTATGACCACGTTACTCACATAGTTTTGTCGGCAGCTGTTCACCCTAATGGGTGCTCATGAGCACCCAATAGTTATTGCACCCTTTTTTCACCCTAGTTTCCCCCCTTTTGATGTGTTCACCCTTTAGGTTCCGCTTGTAGGGTGCTGAGACGCGAATAGGGTGCTCAAAGAGTGAGGTTAGGGTGTCGGCACCCTTTTTGACACCCTTAAGAGTCAGAATCGGCTTAGTGTGTGCGCCTCAACGTACCGCTTTCATTCTCAGATAAATCTTATTCTCACTCCACCAAGAAGTATCATAGCAATATTGCAAACACCCACGAACCAGGCACAATGGAACGAGTACTTTTGAGTCCGTGCCTGCTAGCGCTCTAATACCTGTAACGTGATGGCGTTAAATAGCTTGTTTCACTGAAATTCCGGCGTTGGCGATGTTGGTTGTGAGCGAAAAATATACTTGTGTGTTACTAAAGTTAACAAATTTCTATATAGCGAAATTCTAGTTCGCCATGACAAAACTGCGTTGCATACTGCTACGCATTTTTTTTTACATATTTGCCCGTGTTGTTCAAAGCGTCGTAAGCATTCTACGTTAGCGTTGGTTTGCGTGCAGGCTTTCCAACAAAGTCGGAGGCCTCCGACAATCATCGTTTCGGGCTACGTGACTGCCTCAGAGTGAGGCTCTTTAAAACTATACATCTAACAAGTGTCGAGGCAGCACTCACCAGTGCTGTGTAGGTGGTGCCAGCGACACCGATCAGAACGGTACAAGCGGCCAGTGGTATTCCGAATACTGCACAAAAAAAATTGGAAATGAATTATCTCGAATAATGATTAGTTTGTGTCATGGCCAGTTCGATATATATTACATATATTGACGTTTACATGACACGCTAGACCTATAAAGCGCTACATTGGCGCTACTAACTTTGCAAGACCGTTTGCAGGATAAATGCAACCAAAATAAAATTAAAGCAGGTTCGTAATAGCTAGGATTGACAAGCACGAAGGAAGAGCGGACCTGGGTCTCCTTCTTTGTTTCTGTTTATTTTTTTCTCCGCTTCTCTTTCTGAGTTTTTTCTATCGTTTCCCTGTATTTATCTCTGTTTATTTTTATATTCTTCCTGTTTATTTTTTTTCATCCACCCTCAGTTTCTCTTTTGCATGTGCTTTCTTTACGTGGCTCTGCTAGTGCTATACGCGAAGCGATGGCAGCGTACGACGCGGGGGGGGGGGGGGGCGGTGGTGACGTGTTTTGCACTTCATATACTTGAAACAGTGACAATAAAGTAAGATGTCACCTTCATATTCTTTTTGTTCAGTTCTTTTATTGCGTTCTAGAATGGCACAGTTCGAAAGCTTAAAGTTTGCGGCGAGATACTACGCGCGTAACAGAATAACAAAACCACCTATTAATTTCAGATGGCTGAAATAAAACACACATAAATAAGGCGTGTTTAACGCGATAGCGAAAAGGTATTGATGTCGAAGAAATTACGGCGTCAGTGTCGGTGGCGCTGAATGTAAACAAAAACAACAAAAAATGAAAAAAAGAACGTTGGAGTAATTCGTCAGCGGCGAAAACTTTAGTATTTAAATACGGTTCTACTACGGTTCTACTACGGAGTTCACTGAGTGATCGGCCGGGTTTTCTTACCTTGGGAAAGCACAAGACAATTGTTATTCAAAAATTTTTGTTATGTGCTGATTGTAAGCTTCACGACTTTTTGATTGATTCTTGATTTTGAGTGATTCTTCCTGTACCTGGTTTCGATCATGTAGTTTCCCACAATGTTTATTAAAGGGAACCACGGAGTGGCGATCGTTCGGCCACCACGGGAAACTGGGGTAGTACATCGATTTCCATGTCACTCGTGCTGGCGGCTTCGAACGCGGTTGCGGCATTGTTTTTGCCGTGTTCCGACTTTCGTTCCAGATCAAAGAATAGATCGAACTGAATTTCCTGTGCCTATTTCAGCTGAGGAGCCTCAAAATGTCAAGATGAAGTGACTTGTACATGGACTCTTTCTTCCCACGAACTGTGCGCGAGTGGAATCGCCTCCCTGGTGGGATTGTGAAGGCGGCGACAGTGGCGTCATTCTTATCGGAGCTAAAAAATTCATAGCATGTCTTCCTGCCATATTTGTAATCTTTGTTTTGTGACGTTGCGTTGTTAGTACACAAGTGATGTTAGTACGCACTTATATAGGTACTATGCTATGCGCAATTGCATGTAATGCACTGTATATTTTTCTTTTTACCGCGTTAAAACCTGTGTGTCCGCGACATCCTCTGTGCGTAATATATTGTGGAAATGTTCAGCATGCTATATTTATATGTTACCCACTCCTGCTTATGGCTTCACTTTGAAGCCAGCAGAAATCCTGTAAATAAATAAATAAATAAATAAATAAATAAATAAATAAATAAATAAATAAAAAAATAAATAAATAAATAAACCGCTAAACCCTTGCTGAACTTCGTCTCGGTTGAAAACGGCTGCAGGTCAGACCGCGGAGCCTGACAGAACCAAAAGAACGAAGATTAGTGTACATTGTTCCTATCCCAGGTGGTCAAAATTTCCGGAGCCCTCCACTACCGCGTCTCTCATAATCAAATGGTGGTTTTGGGACGTTAAACTCCACAAATCAATCAATCAATTGTTCCTATGCTGACGGAAGTGCAATGCGTTAACTTGATTCGAAATCAGGACCGGGCAGGAAGATGTTTTCGAGTATCATTTTGAGCTCCGCATGCTATGGCGAAAAATATCTTGGAGGGCCTGCGGGCTTCGGGTGCTACTTTCAGGCTACGCCACCACCGAGGAGCGAGGCATGACAAGTGAATGATATGGCAGTGCTAACGGGGTCTGATAGCCCTATCGCGTTGCACACTTAAAGACAAATCTTCAGCGTCTCCCAAGTAATTTATTGGTTGTTTGCATCCCAGATTTTTCAAAGTCTTGCGCGTACGCACTGTTGACAAAAAGAATGTGCAGTGAAAAAAAAATTACCAGTTTAGTGATCCGCGTGAACGGTTTCGGTTCGTGAAAATACGTAACTTTTTAGTCGATAAGAAAATGCTGCGCTTGCGCAGCAGCAAAATAATGATACGTCAGCATTTTCTGAGAACGAAATAGTGCAACGTTTCGAGCGCTTACTTGTGTACAAGGCGACCGCTGCACTGTAGAGGCCAGCTGCTCCAAGTGTTTGCTACAAAGCCAAGATGAATAAGCAGTACGTTCAATGAGCACACGTTTCAAAGAGAGCAAATTGAATTCGAATGTGGTCAAAATTTTCAGCAGCAACGTTTCCTTTGCTGCATTTGTTTACGATGTTCTGAAAAACAGTATGTGGCAGAGAACGGAATTATTTTTCCAGAGGCAGAGTTACGCGAAAGGGGACGTTAGAATGAGGGCGGAAGTGGATAACTGCTTATTACAAATTTTAGTAATTAACTTTGTGACTGGTTATTTTACAGCATGCATTTATTACGACGGATACGACTTATGTGACTTTTCAAGGCGCGTTGTGTAGGATCTCTGTTACAGTTCAAGAAAAAACAACACGTTTTAAAGTATAATTGACGCATGCTCTCACGTTGTGTCAATCAACGGCTGCCAAATGACAGAATTCGTATTAGTTCTTTGACATCCATAAGGCCCTGAATTGGACAAGAGTAAACAAGGGCAACACAAATGAAACCAGCGAGCGATTTTTGTTCGTCTTGGTTGTCCTTTTTTTCTATGTATCATTGTTTTGGAATTCAGTATTGAAAAAAACACATAATTCGTTGTTCGCTTGTCAACATTATTCTTGCCCGGGGATTTACATGAGGCATCTTTCTGAGGCCGAATATCTTGGAAGCGAGTCAACTGACTTACTGGAAAATCCTGGGACAGGACGTTGTATACATTCCAGGTACAGGCAGCAAAACTGTGCTAAATATACGCGATGATGTTGGCGTTTTTTTGTTTTATTTGCGTTTTTTTCACGTACACTGTCTTGGAAAACATCTGAAGAAAGGATACATGCACTGAGGCTCTGACTCGAATATTACTTCAGATAAACAACCAATGCGTTCATGTATACTTCATTACGCACGCGTGGCATCTCGAGAAGCAACACTGAGCTTAAAATTACAGGCAAATTGTCCACGAAAGATAAACACTGACTGACATCACTTGGCCAACTCGGACCTATACTCCATCTCACAAGTTGATTGCAGCACTACGATGGCTAGGTCGATTTCAACTAATCACGAAGACGACTTCCTCCGCGTTGTATTCATCCGCGCACATTTTAGCTGTGGCCTAATCGGTTGAGTGCCCGTACCGCAAGATCGTTGACATCTCAGTGAGCCAAAGTTCGAATCTGGTTGGGTGAACAGATTTTTTTTAACGTTAGCTTTACGTTTCAGCCTGATGTGAAATTCACGGCACCGCAGTATTCAAGAAGTGGGTTTGCTAGTTTGTGTATTTAGGTGTCCGCTACTGCGATTGCTTCTCGCGGATTTCAATGAAAACATCTGAAGGTCGCCTCTTATTAGGGAGTATTTTGTCATTTTAAAGCAATGCTGTTTATGACTAACACTTATTCTAGAATGCGCAGTTCAAACAAACGAACACGTATGCTCAGATAACTTCTGAATGTCTGTACCTACCAAGCACCCTTGAATCAGAGGTCTGAAACTTTGACTTCACCCAAAATTATGTGTCGCTTGACTGCTCAGGCACCCAAACCACGGTGGAGGTGTTTATTGCAGCCGTTATCATGAATAGTTATCATTTACAGGTATACAAAAAAAACGTGATGTCACCACTGATTCTTTCCACGATCTACACAAATTAAAGCGGTCCCGCCGTGGTGGTCTAGTGGCTAAGGTACTCGGCTGCTGACCCGCAGGTCGCGGGTTCAAATCCCGGCTGCGGCGGCTGCATTTCCGATGGAGGCGGAAATGTAGGCCCGTGTGCTCAGATTTGGGTGCACGTTAAAGAACCCCAGGTGGTCGAAATTTCCGGAGCCCTCCACTGCGGCGTCTCTCATAATCATATGGTGGTTTTGGGACGTTAAACCCCACAAATCAATCAACAAATTAAAGCGTTAAACGGATGGAGCCAAATTGTCGGCATGCGTTTTTGTACCAGCATATTTGTTTTTTTCACGCATCGTCATGTCCCTGCACAAACGAATAAAAAGATACTCAGAAGAATACGACAGTTTTCTAACTTTCGCACTAACATGGCACATTTCATAGCACACGTTTGCATTTGTGCGCTTCGAAAGAGACACATACATGTGACAGAATTTTTAGGAGTTTCCACAGCAGATTTGCACTTCTTCGCAATTTATTAGTGAACCATTTTTCCTAGCTGTCACTATTCATCTCACTATGATAATTGCCCAAGCTTTTCTTTGCGCGAAACACTTCACCGGTGCCTTCCATAAGCCCATATCCGTTTCCGCAATGAGTCAGAATATGCCGGTTGCGTTTTCCACTAGAATGTTGAAGGCCTGCAAACAGCCCGGATCGAGACACTTTATGAACGGTATCTAGGGTTTCATCAACCCACACTTCTCTCACCGTGTGGCCAGCGTTGACCAATGTTTTGTCGGTGTAAAAGATCAGTCTTCCATGGCGCCGCAACTCCGCAATCGGACGCAAGTCTTGCTTGCTGTTTTTTTCTTAGATGCCAATCTTTGTTCTATATTTTTATACATGAATTCACAGGAGGTCCCCCTGACAGTTTTTACTTTGGGACCTCCTTCTGTATTATATCAACTTTTTGCTTGCACTGCATTGTACTGAATAAAGAGCTTTATCTATCAAAAAAAAAAAAGTCGCGGCATGCGAGACTTCACAATGTGTGTTTCTTCTATGAGGAGTGCATTCGGACACCGCTTGTTATATCGGAAGGCACGCTTCTTCCGGCCTCGGTGATAGCGTCGGCAATCCCACTGCGCATGCTCGCGCCTCGCGTCTCATGCCGCATGTTTACCTCTCTTGCCGACTGTCGCCTTTGCTAAAGGTTATATTACGCTTTTAATGGGGTGAGGTCGCCTTTCGCTTGGGCAACTCTGGCATATAAGAAAACAGCTCCAAGCCGCACGAACACACACGGAGCCAGAAGCAGGCCAGAAGTATGAAGATTGGACAAATATGTGTACTACCCGTCATTCCCACACTCGCTGAAGAGCCGTGCGTTGCAGCTTTCATAGACAATAGCGTCCGAGTTCTTTCTAGTGTATATTAGGAAACGCTATGGTCAGATTAGGCGCTGATGGAAACTGTCCGACACCACGGTGACAATGACAGAGGTTGACTCGTCATGCGCTTCCTTCCGTCTTGGACCATAGTTTTCGTGGTAGCCGATTAGCTCTGGTAACAACACGATGGTGCATTCCTAACCTAACCTAATCTAACCTGACCTAACCTAACCTATCTTTACCTTGAAAGGTTTTCACGAAGGCCCAAAAATATGAGCAATACTTACGCTCAGCACGAAGTATAAGAGGGACGATGCAATTCCGACGCCGTTTCCGTATCGCATTCGCAGATACTGTGAGAAAAGAAGAAACATCATTGACGAGTTTTTTTTTTTTTAGTTGCGAAGCAGGTCTTTGACTAGCCTGCGTAACGCAGTCCCTCCGTACACCCGCACTGCTCATTTTCGCGTCTCGTGCCGGCCCAGGAAGACACTCGCAAAACTGTCACTCCCCTTTCCCTATATCACTTCGCAAGGCCGATGCAGGCACCATCTGCTAGTAAAAAACAAAAGACAACTACTCGCGCTGCACCACCATTCACAGGCCAGGCCGTACATGCAGGCACTAGATCGCGCGTTCGGAATTATTTCAAGGGCGTCTTGGTTTTCGCTCTCGTCGCCGCCAGTGTAAGCGTTGACACCTGCTGCTTCACATTTACACAAGGTTCCCTTTAGCAGCAGATGGTCCAATTTTTTAGCTTTCCAATTTTTCGCTTGTCCAAATTTTCAGCTTTAGATTATTAAATGAAAATGTGAGAACTCCAATATCATGCTACACTATGATCAAATTGATTATCAGCAAAGAAAACAAGGTTGAAGTTTTGTTTTATAATTTCATGCCCAAATATTCACGCGTGACGTTAAAAACTTTAAAATGTAGTGTTCGTAGTTTCTCAATAGTCATGACTGCTAGTGAGTCAAAGAACCGAAGGTGGTCGCTATTTCCACGGACCTGCACTGCGGCGTCTCTTGGTCCCATTTTAGTTTCGGGACGTCAAACCTTAACAATTATTATTATACGAATACGTGCTGAGTGTAAATCAAGTAGCCTTTTTTGTCTTTCTGATATGTCTTGACGAAGACATAGCGAAGAAAAAATTCAGCATTGAAAGAAAAAAAATACAACGCTAGCACTTTTATTACTCTACAGTGGTTGCGTCTTTATTACTCTACCTCGATTGCGTCTACTATTGCACTGATATTGTTCCTTCTTTTTCGCTAGGAATGCATTCGCACGATGAATATGTCATTTCTGAGCAGCGCAACAGGGACTAATACAAACGACGTTGCAAGTGCGGTCGCTCCTGTCCTCTTTCGTGTGCATTCCTGTAGCCAACAGTGCCGTAGCGCAGTTCAGTAGGGACAAGTTCATTCGAATGAGCTCGTGAGTACGTCCTGTTAAGTCTTAATCGGTAGCTAGATTGGTACTGGTTTCTGTGAAAACCTCGGGGCATTTCAGAGGCACACGTTTCCTGCGTCGACCAACAGCGTGCCTCGTCCATCGTTGTCCCTCGCCGCAACAGAGCGACAGAGTACAATGAAACGTGAAAGGGTGATGACTCTGATAAAAGAATCAGAGTGCCGCGCGGGGCTATGAGATGGTAATGTTTATTTATTTATTTATTTATTTATTTATTTATTTATTTACATTATGTTGCAGACACAGTAAGGGTCCAAGGAGGAGGGACAGAAAAGTACAATGCAAACAGATATAAAAGAAAATGAAAGAAACAATAAGGTTAGACAATTAACACTATTTATTGACAGGATGAAAAATATATTGCTGAAATGAACAGTTTGAAGCAGAAATTAGAAAATTATTTGAAAGCACAACAATATTACAAATCCAAATATTCTACTAGCAGAATAACAAAAGATGCGCAAAGAGCAATGTCATATTCAACAAATAATAGCATAAATAGCGTAAGTGCTGCATAAACTAGCTACGAATACATTGTTCCAATCAGCTATGCTACGGGGAAAAAAAGAGTATTTGAAAAGGTTAGGTTTCGGGAGATACGGTGTCAAAGATTCAGCATGACGATGTCTCGTTAGTCGAGCTGCAAGTGGCTTCAAGTAAGGATCTGTACTAATGAAAAAATGGTTGTTCTTTAGCAAAAACAAAAAAGAATTTAATTCTATAAAGGTTTCTTCGTAGTTGCAATGTCTGAATGTTATTAGCTAGTATAAGAGTGGTTGGGGAATCGGTGGATCAATATTTAGAGAAAATGAATCGGACTGCTTTACGTCGGACTTTTTCTAAAGCGTCAATGTGGCATTTGGTATCCCACACGATACATGCATACTCTTATTTAGGACGGATGAATGATTAATGTGCTGTTAAGGGAGTATTGGGGAAGCCTGTTTTAGTTTATGTCTTAGAAGTAGAAGTTTATGTCTTAGAAGTAGAAGTACAAGTAGAAGTTTTGTCTTAGAGAGGTAGAAGCAATTCTGTACGGAAACGATAATCTGTTATGTTCTTTCGTAACTTTCATAAAAAACCGATTTCTTCGCAATTAGCTTTATGTGCAACTTGGTACACCACGATTATATGTTGTGCAGGTTATGGTATTCGAAATTGTATGCGCGACGTGGACTGTGTCATACTTTGTGGAAACCATCCGGATGAAACCGCCCAGTGATCCGCACAGTTGTTACTGTGGAGAGGATTCAGTGTAGATGCAAATACGAACAAGAACATCCTGCCACAGGCGTGCTTATAGGGTAAGTGAAAAGAGTGGACAGGTGTGGCTTCTCCCCCTGATTCACTTTGTTTGCACAGCGTTCTCATCGTAAAGACCTCAGTGTGTGCGTGTGAGTGGGGGGAGGGGAAAGGGTATTATAGCATAGGATGGTGCTACGCTAAAAATGGTGACCCGAACGGCATGATGTGATGGTCCTTGTACGCACTGGCAAAACAGTTTATAGTGTCACCTCTGATGACGTCATCGACACATTTACAGAAGGACCGTTGTTGCGGGCAGTCTCGTTTCTCACCTCGAATATGGAGGTGACTTTGAGCTCGTACAAGACGGGGAGGATGAGGTAGCTGACGAGGAGCCCTCCTGGCACGAACGTGGGTATGCACCAGAGCGTGTGGAAACCGTACTGGTAGTAGTAGGCAACGAAACCGATCATGCCCACAGCGGTGACACTCGACGCCACCATGGACAGTGCCAGGGGAATGGCGTGAAGAGTCCGGCTTCCCAGAAATGCCTCATCTCTGGTGCTAGCACGTCCGCGTTTTCGTAGTGACAGGTATAGTCCGATGCCTGTAGATGTGAGATATGTTCAAGCTAGTTATCTCTCATTTAATCTGCATTTGATTCTCGCTAGCGTCAGACACTTCTTTTATAAAGGAAAGAACAAAAAAAATCACAGGATATCTACGAGGTGAGCGACGACGATTGGGGTGAAGAACAGAGGGGCGGATGCATGGACTAACATACAGAAGAACGGATGGACTGACGGATAGTTCGCCCCACTCATCTTCTTTCACTCTGTGGATATGCTGTGATACCGCTTTTATTTACATGCAATGCAACTGGCTGCTACGACGACTACGACGACACGGGACATACGACCCACGGCGTAAGGACCTTCGCCCCTAAAAAGCATGACTGATTGTCTTACCCCTGGGTTGATTACCATGATGGCCCAAATCGTATGGACGAGGATAACGAAACTCTGGGGGAGGGGGGGGGCAGAAAATATAGACTATGTGTACAAATAGATTTGCTGATCAGGAATACGTATGAACTGTCTCGACATTTTCTCGTATGAACTGTCTCGACAAAGAGGTGTGAGGGCTGATGACCTTGCGCATATCACTTGTTGTTGTGTGTACTGCGTCTGTAAGTTATACAGTCAGTTTTATAGAGAGTATGTAGAAGTGCGTAGAATTTCTCTTATAAGAAGTTATACGGCCGTCAATATCGTCAGGCGATCTGTGCTGAAACTGATGTCAATAGCTTTCGCTGGGACGATTCAGCGTTCTGCCCCTTAAGTTGTCAACAGCGAACAACCTGAACGACGGTCAATCTTCAGTTATTCGAAGACATTCCTGCAATCTTTGCTATCAGCTCGGCTACATGGACCATACGATCAACTGGTCTTCGAGGTTGGGTATCGCCTCCATATTTAGTTCGTGAGAGGACACCACGGAGACATTTCAGTAGCCGTGAAGTCTCTGCGGCGTCAAAGACATTGAACACGTTGACAACGGTGCTCAGTCAGCCTGAGCAAATACTCCTATCAAGACAACTTCGAGTGGCTGCACTGCATGCTTTGGAACACAGCAAATAGACTGCACAATCCGCACCATTACTAATCGAACATTTTACGTCTTCAGACACCCACTGGACTACACCAAAATGATGACACTCTGCTTTGCCATTTAAGGCCAAATGTGGCTTTCCTGAAGCCATTCTCGTTTGAATAGGAATGGGTGACAGCCTTTTTTTAGAACTGTAGTAATGAGGGCACGTCACAGCACGTCTTCTGCTGCTGTCCTCTCTAGAACGCGCCGAGAAAATCACTCGAAGTTGCTCTATCTCGCATATATCCCAGATAGATGATGGCAAAAACTATTCTGGAATCTCGTCCTCAGATGTCATTTTGCGTGAAGGCAAGCCAGTGCTCAACACCTCGATGACATCAGACTTGCACCGCTGGTTGTAGACTAATGATGCTGTTTTGATTGCGAGGTATGCGACTTCATGCACGCGTGCCCCTGGTTTCTCTTCGTTTATTCGTCTTTAAAATTCCCCCATCTGTTTCCGTGATCGTGATGTAGGACAGCATACATGTCCTTCTAGACTGACTAACATCCTTGCTTTTCTTCTCTTATGTTCCTTCCTTCTCCTATAAGAACGTCCCAATCTGCACACTCAAAAAAAAAAAAAAGAGGCGGTCCAGGATTTTATTTATTTTTTCAGTGCGCTGATGGCGATGATGATGATTTGTGATGATTTGTGAGGTTTAACGTCCCAAAACCACCATTTTATTATGAGAGACGCCGTAGTGGAGGGCTCCGGAAATTTTGACCACCTGGGGTTCTTTAACGTGCACCCAAATCTGAGTACACGGGCCTACAACATTTCCGCCTCCATCGGAAATGCAGCCGGGATTTGAACCCGCGACCTGCGGGTCAGCAGCCGAGTACCTTAGCCACTAGACCACCGTGGCGGGGCACGCTGATGGCGAGTATATGTGTATGCAAAGACATCTGTGCACCTCAAAAAAAGCCACGTGGTCGCACTTGATCCGGCGCCCGCCACTATACGCACGCCTCATAAATACAAGTGGGTTTGTGCCACTGAAATCTTCGGCATTTCCTTTTTTTAAATGTCCTGCAGGCGCCTCAATTGTTATAGTGAGACATTTCTGTATTCGACGGGCAAAGTTGGTCGTTATCATCTCAACAATCTGAATAAAAACACAGGAGCCTATAGCTATCTAAAACTGATTGTGTAAGTCATCACGCATTATAGGTTAATTGCAACGCACTCACCCATACTGAGAGCTGTCAGGCAAAAGAAGATGGCGTAGTCGTGGAAGCGCACGGTGGGCCGCGTTGTCTCCGTGGATGGCATCGTCGGACGCTTTGACTATACATGCGAACCACACCATTCGCACTTCCGATTGCTGCGAAGCAAGTGCAAAACGAACATTCCAATGCAACACGTCACTGCTTTTATGTTTTGTTGAGTCTATGTATGTGCTTTTGGTTTAATGCTGAGTAAATAGGGTTTTATAGCGCACGTGCTCGATATCGGATGCTGACCTCGTGTTTTTCGCAAGGTGCCTTCGATCGCGTTACCGTTGAGCAGCTGGCCCGGCATATGGATGCACGTTGCTGACGTATACGACGAAGGTCGCGCTGTCATGCGGATGTAGTTTTTTTATCATTATGTGTTCTGTTGCATGTTATGCTGTGGTTTACTACGTGTGATTATCGGCGAATAACGGCCGTGATTGCCACTTTCACTGTGCTGAGAACGTTTCCCGCTTGATTGATCGATTTGTGGGGTTTAACGTCCCAAAACCACCATATGATTATGAGGGACGCCGTAGTGGAGGGCTCCCGAAAATTTGACAACCTGGGGTTCTTTAACGTGCACCCAAATCTGAGCACACGGGCACGTTTTCCGCTTAGCTGGACGCAATACATGTCAGTATTTACCGTTTTGATCGCTCCGTTGTGGGACCGTCATAACCACTCGAAAGTATGATTCCCACAGAAGCGACCACAGAAGCGCCATGGTGGTGCCTTAGCCACTAGACCACCATGGCGGATGAGACTGAACTTGTGCTCCCCCCTCCCAAACCGCTCTTAGGTGACTAGAAAAGTGGCCTGTCCCCGGCGCACTCTCCCCTCTCCCCTCCATTGCACTCGTTGCTCGTTGCAGCGTTTCTTGTTGATAATTTGTGCCGTGCGTTAGGGTGGTGTTTGAGCACACCCCAGTTCATGATGACTACCATTGCTTGTCAACGACACACACAGCTCACCTCGACCATAACAGTTCAGTGGCACAGCCGAAACACCGACTGAGTCAGCAGACATTGACGGCAGATCGTGAAGACACTTGGCAATGATGGCTGCAGAAGCTATAAGCTCTCAACTCCCCTCGCGTTAGTTTCCTTTCTATAGAAAGGACGGTACGTCACACATAGACGCTCATTGCGAGTGAATTACTCGCCGGAGTTCGGCATTGTAGCTGCATCACAGCAGGCCGGTTTGACCTGGAGTGTGTGGCCACCTGCTGTTCCGCATGATGGACGTATGTCATTTCATCAACGGTAAATAGTGTCAGCGGAGTGAATCAGATGACAAGCAAGGACAGCCTGAAGCTCCGTATATACTAAGAGACAGAGAAAAAAAAGATGGAAGGGAGGGTCATAGAATAACATATAACAGACGGCCAGTTAAATCAACGGAATGGATGCCATGAGCATAGAGTTGCCTAAAAAAACTAGAGAGCACTCTGGCGCTGCGATCGTTCAGCGACCACGGGAATGATGAGTAGTACACACTTTTGCCTAGTCTTCATACTTGCGGGTGGTGAATCGTACTTGTGGATTCGTTTATTGCTCTGTTTCGGTTTTGTTTTTAAATAAAAATTCAACTCTTTCGAACTTCGTGACCCAATTCGGAAAGGTAAGTCTAAAAGAATGAAGTGGTGAAGAACAATCGCAGAAAATTTGCTGATTTTTGTTCCGTGAGAAAACAGCTCCAAGCCACACGAACACACACGGAGCCAAAACCAGGCCAGAAGTACGAAGTTTAGACAAATGTGTGTACTACCCATCATTCCCATGCTCGCTGAACCGCCGTGCGTTGCAGTTCCCATAGACACTAACGCCAGAGTTCCCTCTAGTGTATATTAAGAAACTCTATGGCCATGAGGTGAGAAGCGCAGCCAAGGAGGGCGAAGAGTCATAGTTTGGACGAAGAAATGAGGAAATTCGCAGGCGCAAAATACAAGGTTGTATGCAGAAATTTTTTTTCGGAAGGGGGGGGGGGGGGAAACCCCCTTGATCTATAAGGGGGGCTGGACAGGCAAATGGTCATTTAACGCATACAAGGGGAAAAAATTTGGGGGGGGGGGCGCATGGGCCCGTAGTTTCACACCTTGGCTACGACACTGATAAAATTGGAATCGGCTTCGCACAGTGCAGGCTTGCTTGGAGAGCACTGAAAGAGGTCTTCGTTTTGTTGTAGACGTAAGCTAGGCTAGTAACAACGATGACTGTCGGCATGATGATTGTAACGAATGGGGTTTTATTCGTCATCAAATCGTACATTCAAGGACAAATTCAAAGCGAGAAATCTAGAAATGACGAAAGTGGGATAGGTTTCGCTACCGATAACACGTGAGCACTATCTATGACTGCTAATTATGTGGTTGTCAATGATTGTTCCGTTATATGACATAGTACAAGTGCGCGAGCCATAATCACGTTCGTTTACCAACGTAAACAAAAAGAAAAGAGGACGTGGTTTGAGTGGTTTTAGTCAAGCCTAATTCTTTCGCATTTCAATCTTGCACCAAAGCACGTCGTATACGAAATATATACTGCCTTTACGGCTACCACCAGCTCTTTACACATGCATGGCGTCAGCAACCTCATAATCAACCCCAAATCTTTCTTCTTTTTTGTTCGTGGCACCTGCTACTCATTCTCTCACTCACTATTTCTATTCCCGTGTATTTACTTGAAAGATTTAATCTGAAATTATTTTAGCTATCTCTCTTTATGATTACACAGCCATCTAAACAGGTCTTTTTAGACCCCAAGCAATCCAGGACTCTAGGGCACCTCTCCTCAGCTCTTTTCTGAAATAAAGGCGCTTCTCATTTTTCGATGCGAAGCAGATCTCTTTCTAGTCAGTGTAACGCTGTCCCTCCGTCCGCACCGCACTCCGCTGGCCGCAGGTGTTGGGTCGGTGCTAAGTAGATCACGCCTTCCCGCGCAGTGCGCGCGTGTTGACGTCATTCTTTCGCTAGCCTGTCGGAAGCGTGTCATCTCCCTCGCTTCACCCTCTCCACCACTTGCAACGTTCGAGCGCACATCGAGCGAACAGTCTTCCTGCGATAAAACTTACAGGAAACCCAACCCGCCTCCCGTGTCTTTGCGTTTCGAACAAATGTTCACTCGAGTAAACGCCGCGCATTTGTTTCACTTCAAACCACTTTTCAAGCACCCGCGTCGGCACCCGTTTCAACCGGATCAACGCCTTGCGCACCGCTTATGCTTCGCATTCTATCAGGGTTCTCTTGGGAGAGATTGTCGATATTTTTTTCTTTTACATAAACTTGGATGTAATTAGCCCCCGAACCGTTAGCTTCACTCTCTTTTAATTGTTTAATTGAAGTTCATTGCCATGTGTTAGGCTAAATGGATATTTCGCATGCCAACAATCGTTCTTGTAACCCTTTCTGAACGAAGCAGCTGATTCAGATCGACACCACAGTTCTATGTCTGTATGAATTGTGGCGGCTAAATTGTATAGGCGCGCATATACCTACGCTAGATGTACTTTAAAGAACCCCTCCTGTTAGAAATTTCGGTAGCCTCATTTTAAGGCGTGTCTTATAATCATGTCATGGTTTTCGGATGTAAAACCCAGCAATTATCACTAGACTGTTTTAAAGCCGACGAGCTGACACTGCAGGCAGAACTGATGTTGCCCCTGAATAACGCCTGTATATAGTTTTTCATCAAGTAAAATTGAATTAATGGCGGCACGGTGTAGTAGAACACTGTAGACTGTCATGTGGCATGCCACTAGTAAGTTTTCAATGATAAAAATGATTACAATATTCATCAGAAATTCTTCATCAATACAATTCGATCGCATCCTTGTTGCACTCGCCAGTATAACAACACATCACTTTGGTTACGTGAGTGTTTTTGAGAGCACGTTTGGGGAAAGATACCAGAGTTTCTTTAATCGTTACCAGTCGTAAGGACGACACCGTTTTAAACGATATCATTTCTTCAGCGTTATCATAATTTTCGAAAGATTACCCTCCAAAGTAACTGCGTAGTTTTGCTGCGCGTGGTTGCCCCCTGATTTACGACCCTTTGTACTATAACCAAATATATTGCCAGTGAGTTGAAGTGCGGACGGGAGTCATTCGTCAAGACCGTTTCAGGTGCAGTTGCATTGTTCGTAAGATCACTGTGCGAAACTAGCCGCCACCTTTCACGTTTCGTTCAATGGTGCGATAAATAGAAAGGGTAATGCTTCTGTGTCTTGCGGAAACCCGTACTGCTATCTCAGTCCTTTTCCGGAGTTCCAAGGAGCGACCAGCTTCCAGTTCCCGTTTTTTCAAGCTTTGAGCTCTCAGTTCGTACTACAGAAGCCGACGGTAAGTATGTATTTGTATTAATTATTGCTGTGTTAAATGTGACTGAAGGGGGAAAAGCTTTGAGGATGTGTGGAGCTCATAGAGGTTGCTGTACATACACTAGAGGTAACTCTGGCGCTACTGTCTGTGGGAGCTGCAACGCACAGCGCTTCAACGAGCGTGAGAATGATGGTTAGTGTCCGAAATTATCTAATATTCGTTCCTTTGGCTCTGTTCAACTTCGCGAGTCTTGAAGCCGCTTTGTATCGAAATGACAATCGGCAAATGTTCGGCAGTTGCGCTTCACCACCTTAACCTTTTAGGCTCACCGATCGGGTAAGTGCACTGATAGGTAATAGTGCACTTCAAGTTGTAAAAGACTATGTCTACTTAGGGCAGGTAATAAGCGCGGAGCCGAACCACGAGATTGAAGTAACTAGAAGAATAAGAATGGGGTGGAGCACATTTGGCAAGCACTCTCAAATTATGACAGGTAGATTGCCACTATCCCTCAAGAGGAAGGTTTATAACAGCTGTATCTTGCCAACACTTATCTACGGAGCAGAAACCTGGAGACTTACAAAGAGGGTTCAGGTTAAATTGAGGACGACGCAGCGAGCAATGGAAAGAAAAATGGTAGGTGTGTAATCTTAAGAGACAAGCCCCGCCGCGGTGGTCTAGTGGCTAAGGTACTCGGCTGCTGACCCGCAGGTCGCGGGTTCATATCCCGGCTGCGGCGGCTGCATTTCCGATGGAGGCGGAAATGACGAGGCCCGTGTGCTCAGATTTGGGTGCACGTTAAAGATCCCCAGGTGGTCAAAATTTCCGGAGCCCTCCACTACGGCGTCTCTCATAATCATATGGTGGTTTTGGGACGTTAAACCCCACAAATCAAATCAACCTTAAGAGACAAGAAGAGAGCAGAGTGGAGTAGAGAACAAACGGGAGTTAAGGATATCATAGCTGAAATCAAGAAGAAGAAATGGACATGGGCCGGGCATGTAGCGCGTAGACAGGATAACTGCTGGTCGTTAAGGGTAACTAACTGGATTCCCAGAGAAGGGAAGCGGGTTAGGGGGAGACAGAAGGTTAGGTGGGCAGATGAGATTAAGAAGTTTGCGGGTATAAATTGGCAGCAGCAAGCACATGACCGGGTTAACTGGCGGAACATGGGAGATGCCTTTGTTCTGCAGTGGACGTAGTCAGGCTGATGATGATGATGATGATCATGATGATGATGATCGGGTAAGAAAGTTCAAGACGGTCCATTTTTTTTAATTCGGAACATTACAAAAACATAGCAATAAGCAAAGTCGCAAGTGCGTTTGAAGCCCGCAAGCATGAATACTAGGTAAATCCGTGTACTACCGCATAATTCTTACTGTCGCACTAAGATCGCAGCGCCAGAGTACCCTCTAGTTTATTTCAGGAAGCTTTATGCTTGAGCTTCGACTTCGAAAGAAGAATACGATAGTATAATTGACTCCGCTCACACCGCCTTTCGATTTGCTAGCTAGGCACCTCAACCATATCACGATGCATATTGCATAGGCTGAGCTAAACTATCATAAAAGTCCTCCTTCAGCAAGGGAAGTTACGAACTCTCCACTACGTCACAATTGAGTGTTATGCACTATATATGAAGTACCCGCTACGTATCCACAATGTATTTGACTTTTCTATGCAGCTGCAAGCTTCGCAAAGGCTTATGAATCTGTTTAAAATTACTTGATAAGTGTTAGGTATTGGCGTCCCAAAACACATTTATATAATGGACGCTGAAGTGGAGTGCTTCGCGAACATTCACCGTCTGCAAGTGTTCCTTAACGCGCACCACAGTACACGCGCCTCAAACATTTCACCTCCGTCGTAATTTCGCTCCGCCACGGTGGTCTAGTGGCTACGGTACTCGGCTGCTGACCGGCAGGTCGTGGGATAGAATACCGGCGGCTGCATTTCCCATGGAGGCGGAAATGTTGTAGGCCCGTGTGCTCAGATTTGGGCGCACGTTAAAGAACCCCAGGTGGTCCAAATTCCCGGAGCCCTCCACTACGGCGCCTCTCATAATCATATTGTCACGTGCCTGTCAAAAAGAAAGACAATGACAGTTGTGCATGTGCCATGAAGTACAATGAAATGGATGAAAAAGAAGAACTCTCTTGCGCGTTCTATTAAAAGAACCTACCTGCTTCTGGTGTCTCAGTTTCTGCCGCAAGACCTCTGTTTCGACGTTGTGACACTACCCAGCACCTCCACCAGTGTCACGACGTCGAAACAGAGGTCTTGCGGCAGAAACTGAGACACCAGAAGCAGGTAGGCTCTTTTAATAAAACGCGCAAGAAAGTTCTTCTTTTTCATCCATTTCATTGTACTTCATGGCACATGCACAACTGTCATTGTCTTTCTTTTTGACAAGCACGTGACAATATGATGGTTTTGGGACGTTAAACCTCGCATATCAAACAATTCGTCGTAATTTCGCCTCCGTCGAGTGTTTAAGCGGAAAGGGTTAAAAAGCTCATTTACGCAGAAACTACGGCGTCGGCGGTTGTGAGCGAAGAATCGTCGTATTGTGCGTGACCTGAAAAAATCAAGAACGATGCAAATAAAATGATAAAAAAATATCCTTGGTTCATTTGGGTTCCGAACCCGGGTCGCTTGGGGTTCGAGTTGGGATGGAATCCGTGTCGTTTGCGTGACAAGCGGACGTTCCACAACGTGACCACACTTCTGCTTGCGAACGCAGTGAAAAGAACTTCCTCTGCTAGTAAATGCAGTGAAAGTATATAGCTCTCACGCTCTGCAAACACACGCGTCCTGAATACATTGCTTCAGAATAACCACATGAAATATAGCAGTAGTAATGTGTGGCACAAGCGTCCATTACCATCGGACCTCATAACATGTGATTATCACGATGGCTTCGTCGTTTAAAGCCAATCGCCCACTGCAAAAGCCACACACGCGACTGTGCCCATTCACTTAAGGCCACGTGATATAGTAGAGTACCTAATACTCTAAATCGTTACCCACTTTTTTAAGTGTGAATACAATTTATAAGCGACCCCAAACCATCCACCGCCGTCGGCGGCGTCCGCAGTTTTCTCTGTATCTTTAAAAGAAAGAGGACTTGGCGGGCCGCAGCGCGACGCTCTACCGAACAAGCCACGGACGCGACGCTGATAGTCCCCCTCCCCCTTTGCTCGCTCCTCCGCTCTCCTCGCTCGCTGCAGCTGCGCGCGCACCCCTCTCTCTCGCGCGCCCGCCTTCTCTCTCAGTCTCCCGTCGAGAGCGGGTCGTGCGATGGATGTCCCGGAGACAACGCTACCATCTGGATATAAGGCGCGTTACTGACACCGATATATATATATATATATATATATATATATGTATATATATGTATATATATATATATACCTTATTACTTCGTCCGTTTCCCTTCAATGTTCATCAAGTGGTAGGCGAACGAAAACACTTTGTATGTGCATGTGGAAAAAGGAAGAAAAGAAAAAATGTATGAAGAAAAAACGAAACAAGAATGGACAGTGTCCACGTACGAGTCAGTCAGAAAAAAAGCGTGGTCTCCGCAGCGCGCTCCTCCGCTCTCCTCGCTCGCTGCAGCTGCGCGCGCACACCTATATATATATATATATATATATATATATATATATATATATATATATATAGAGAGAGAGAGAGAGAGAGAGAGAGAGAGAGAGAAGACTGCGGATGCCGCCGACGGCGGTGGATGGTTTGGGGTCGCTTATAAAGTGTATTCACACTTAATATATATATATATATATATATATATATATATATATATATATATATATATATATATATATATATATATATATATATATATATATATATATATATATACTAGTTTTTTTAGGCACACAGTGGGTACATAGCAAGTTCGAAAAGGTTTCATGCACTAGGTATTTGAAGTACGCACCATGCAAGAACAATATATCGGTATCAGGTCCCCTAATTGTTTTAACGCGAAAGCGTCAAAGAGCTCACCTCCCAGAAATGCCGGTGTTGGCGTCGTTGGTTGTGAGCGAACAATCATCTTGAGTATGACCGAAAAAAAAATTGAGAACGGTGCAAATAAAATAAATATTAAGAAATTTTGGGTCCAAGTGAGGATCGAAGCCAGGTTGCTTGAGGGGGTAAGCAAGTGCGCTAACACAGAACTACGGGTCTGCTTGATATTAGGATGGAAGTAATTTCCTCTGCTTGGAAATGCTGTGAAAGCAACTTCCATGCAAACGCACGCTTCCTCTATACGTGCTTCACAATGCAACATGTAATATCGCAGTAATATTTGGGACGTTAAACCCCACATATCAATCAATATCGCAGTAATAACGCGGTGTACAAGCGTACATTGCGATCGGACGTCAGAACGTGTGATTATCAATGCCTAATCGTTCCAAGCAGGCCACCCACTACAAAAGGAACACACGTTACTGCGCCTTTTTTCCCCCTTGAGGCCACGTGGTCGGTAGATAGGCAAGTACGAAAAGATTTCGCCCGGAATTCCCGTTGCTTAAAGCATGCTACCCGAATAAATCGGCCGTATGCGGAAGCATCACTGACACAGGCCACTTTGAACTCATTAAGTGCCGTAGACAGGACATCACTATCACGTTAAAGTTTTAAAAACGAAGCTTAAGGGCCCCCAAATTTTTTAAAATTACTTCTGTGGTTGCATTTTGTACGGGCTAAATTTCAGATAATTGAGCTGCTTACGAGTGTTAACACGATTTGTGTACACATTTTTTTTTTCAGTTTTACCGAGGGAACGACCTGACAAATACCGTGTTGGCTTCATTACGCTCAAAGCTGTAGACTTCCACACTCTCATTTTGTCACCCACGTTCCCGGAACCAGATAACCTAACTGAGGTACCCCGAGTGGTACCACCAGCAGTAAGCGCACATTACTTGACTATATACAATTGTAGCATTGTTCTCCCAGGTATTAGTCCGGCAACTGTGTGCGATGATTGCGCTGCAAGGCTTGGGATTGACTTATTCTTGCTGATGTTGTACTGTGTTCATTTCAAAAGCGACAATAGTCCATTGATCTTTTCTTGTGTGTGGAAACAATTTTCGCCTTTGCAAGAACATCGTTTAATAACGGCAGACTAATTTACAGAGCTCTTCAATGAGTGAGCCTGGTCCCTCACCGTGAATTCATTAAGAAGGGCAAATTTGGGAATTATGATATTGAATATCTGCAGTTTGGGCTTTGGCAGAACAAGGTATATATACAACGGATCGTATATGCGAGCTTTAGAAGTGGATCATTGGGAAAGCATTGACAATTACTAGTGATGCAACAGTTTTCAAGGACGGCTCAAAGTGTACAGGTGGTCAAAAACTGACGAACTTTTGGTGTCCCCTGCCGATCCAGACTTCGCCGGATCGCAGATAACTGCACTGTAGCTAAAATAACTATACTTCTACAATCCAATGGCGTGCGGGAGTATTAATCATGTTTCAGTAATTTTGGAGGTCCAGTTGAAGCACTCACGCTAGTCCACGAGGCTTATATACAGGAGAATGAGTTTAGTTGAATGCGTTCACTACGTCTGCAAAGACACATCTAAGTATGGTGCTTAATGAGTCAAACCTGGCAACAAAACATCAGCTAAAAGTAGTTTGCGTATGGATAAACATTTCATGTCACTACTAATCGGTTCACAGAATATGACGTAGGCTCTGATGTGATTGTGCGAACCTGTATTGCACCGATGGGTTCCTAACTGAAGGCGATGAGAACGAAAGTGTACCTGCACCGGGCCCATAGCCAGGCATTTTTTTCAGTAGAGGGAGAAAGGGGGACACTTATTGACGGCAATTGAATAACGGCTATTTTTAGTCATTTGTCGTTGGTGAAGTACCTTTTTCCATCCAAATATCCCCCTTTTTACGGGCCGGACCGGCACTACTTAACGCAGAATTGGACTCGTTTAATTCTGTGATCACCGTACATATAGAGGTTTGTTAGGTAACTGGTCATTGCAGGTAGTCATTGCATTTATACATTGTTCTTTGTTCTTTGTTTCTTCCTTTTTCTACAGCACATAGAAGGGTCATTGGACCTAAACCACAACGAATTATTATACTCAAAGGCATAAAGGCACGTATACTTAAATACCGAAAAAAATTATTTTGCTGCGGCTTCTCCTTCTTTTCGTAATAAAAGCATGGACCTTCACCACCAACATCTGTAATAAACAAAACTTATGTGTTTGCGAAATACCTGTCTTCATGGCCAATAATTCACTCTAATGAGTCATAAAAGTCACATTTCGTTAGTGCACCGTTGTAAACATTCTTCTTAAAAATACTTGATTTAAAAAAATTAACTTGAGCAACAAGATCCCCCGTAAACGGTAATAGTATACCCGTGCCAGCCATTGGCGATCGGCGAAAACGACAAGCTTCACATGTCAAGTTCCTGCGTCTGGCTGCAGTTCTTAACGCAAGTACACTTCCTAGGTGAAGGAACTTATACTTTACAATGCACCTGATTAAATGCTCTCGAAAAGACTGATGCTCACGTGCAGTATGTTTCCCCAGCTGGACTGCACCCACACGTGTCATCTATTTCATGAGCATTGGGGGGAAAGAGTAGCATTTGTGATAAATTGTTCAATAATAGGAAATTGTCTCAATGGTATTGAAAGTTTGGATATAGTTGGTACGGATGCATTTTTTTTGGGTTGTAGCGTGATATCGACGAATACGGAATACGGAAGGGAACGCTGACTCGCAACTGAAAGGTTTTGTTAAAGAACACAAGAACGTGAAAAAGAAATCATGAAAAAAGAAGCGTATCGACATTGTGCAGAAGCGTTAAAAAGAAATATAAGAAGTTTTCAGGGCTTGTCACTTGACGGCACATGTGCTGACAAGATATGCAAACTTTTTTTTCTGAAATATTTAAAAAATTATCTTGATACAACACTCATCTTGCACCATTCGATCTTTCTGTTTGGTTATTCTTGGTGCTGATTAACGGTATAGTTGCACGTTCAATAATAATAATAATATAATAATAATAATAATAATAATAATAATAATAATAATAATAATAATAATAATAATAATAATAATAATAATAATAATAATAATAATAATAATAAAACAATAATATTAATAATGGTTGGGGTTTAACGCCGCCCGAAAACCAAGGTATGGTTATGAGGGACGTCGTAGTGGAGGGCTTTGGAAATTTCCACCACTTGGGTGTATTTAACGCGTACATAAACACAGGGGTCTCGGGCATTTTCGCCTCAATGGAAAATGCTGCCATCGAGATGGGGTTCAATCCCGAATTATTACACCACACGCACAGTTTATATTCTGAATCCTGTTCGGCTGCGAAATGAGCGCGATCGCTTTTTGGCCCGCTCAGAGACGTTCTCCCGTTTGTGACAATTGAGAATCGATCGCTTCTTGGGGGGGGGGGGGGGGTAATTAGGGTTAGGGGTCGGAGGACACAAATGGCACGGAAGATATCTGTAAATTCGAACGCTGCGAACAGTTTTGCCAGTCATGTCGGGTAATTCATGCATCGTGAGACACCTGGACTGAACCCGTATACCGTCGGGCACGGAGCATCTCTGCCGTCGATGTCGATGAACTGCGGTGGCGTTATCGCGGTTCTGCGGCCGGCAGTGAAACATGAACCCTGCTGTCTCCCTAGGCAAGTCATTATCTCCCTTACTGGCCCGTTGCTGCTTTAACAGCAAGAGGAAGCCACGTTTGCTTTGCCAATGGTCTCGGCAAGCAGGAATTCAGGGGACACTGGCCTCCAGATGGCCCGGAACTCCCTGCACTAAGGTAAGTCTGCGTTCTCTTTGGAGCCAATATAGCCAAGTGAGATTGGCTTGTGAAATACTGTTCCTGTATGAATTAGTCTAATTACAGCGAGACTAATGTACATACACGCCATATGAAATGATTGCTATAGAGAGATCTATATATAGAGCGTTTAAGTCATAGACAGCTCCCGTGGGCCTCCTGGTTAATCTTTTTACAAGGTATATATATATATATATATATATATATATATATATAATATATATATATATATATATATATATATATATATATATATATATATATATATATATATATATATATATATATATATATATATATATATATATATATATATATATAACATAGATTTATGAAGGGCTATAAACGGTATGCCATCCAGCTGTCGTTATCGCACTCGGACGCCATACTCTGCCGCCATTAAAATGAGATTGTTCAACCAAGTAAGAATAAAAAACATGTTAATTAACTTTTGTAATTATAGAGCTGTGAGCAGGAGTTTGTATAGAAAGTTGAAGTGCCCACCAATTTCTAGCGCACCTAATTTTTAGAAAGCACGAAAGTTGTTCTGAATATTCGTCATTGCATTTTAAGGACGAAATTGAAAGTGATCGCGCTAGGCGCGCAGACTGTTCGGCTTCGTCAGATCGAAACTACACGTCACAAGGGAGTGCCAAAATGTGAATGAAGGCACGCCGCGTTCGTATGTAATTGCGAAATACTGCAAGCCATCACACTTGTGATGCAGCATCGCCTTACTTTTGCGAGCAGTGTTTCATGCTTGTCCGTCTATTTATTTTTTTACTGCGCAGAAAAAACCTTGATCTTTTCTTTGCCTGGGAAGCATAAAACTCACGCTCAGCTACGGCAGCGCTTTGTCTTGCCGACACGCGAAATAGTTTTTGCGCGATGGAAATCCTAAGCATCACTCATGACACGCACACATGAAAGGGATACTAAAGGCAACTGTCATATCCCCGTATATTTTTTCTTTGCCTGCCGAATGAGCGCGAAACGCCCGTCATCCATGGCGGCGCCACCTGCGTAGGGTTAAGGGTCTTTGTACCTAACCTTTGAGATCAGCAACTTTGGCGTTTGCTAATTTCAGAGGCTATGCCTTGTATCGAAGGGGTTGCCTGCTGAATGAACGCAAAACGCCCGTCATTTATGGCGGCGTCACTTATGTAGGGTTAATTGTAATTATTTATAACTACATTTACGCCTTCTTAAAAGTTTTAAACGTTATTTTTTGCATATAAGCTCGAAAAACGTAAAAAACCTATTTGAAGACAACCCTACTTAAGTCGCGCCACCACCGTAGTTCCTACGACGGCCGCTTCCCAAGTGACCGCCGATAATCCGACAGGCAAGGGAAATCTAGGAGGCTGTGGAACTGTTAAGTCGACGTTTATTGTTGGAATGGCGGCCCAGGGGCCTCGTAGTTATACTTCTGTGCCAAGGAGGTGCTTATTTCGAAAAGTATAACATCACGTTTCAGTGATCCACATCAAGTTGGTGCACTTCAAATTACCCACCTAAAAGAGAAACAGCTCGCGTCACTGTTGCCGTGCACAACGTTTCCCGGCATTAAGGCACGGCCGCTAACACTAGTAACAGTAGAAAGAAAGTAGCGGGAGCCACAGCAGCAACAATGGCCGCTGAACAATTTTCTGGCATGGCCTCCGAGATCGCAGCCGTGCTTGGTTCAACTGGGCCCCGCTAGATGGCGGGGCCCAGCTGAAGCATGTTTAAACAGCGCCCGTCTTGTGTCTGTCTATTTCTCTGCCTTCGTGTTTCGCGCTGTTTACCTCTTACGACCTGTCCCGTTTAACCAGGCGAAAACTGAACTTTTGAACCACTCGCGCCATTCCCCATAGTAACGTCTGGTGGTTTTTTTTCTTTAACGAATCAAACAGAAACAGACAAGCAGCATTTTATTACGTCTCTTTATGCATGGAAGGTTCTTTATTTAGTGCCGCTATTAGTTCGATTACTAGTGATTAATTATAAGCGATACCTCTCACGTCATCGGGATCACTTTGCGAATGTCCTACGTGTAGCACATGTCCTCTCGTGTATTACCTTAATTTCTTGCTAGTTTGAGCACTGCTGTTGATAATATTGTCGTTTTAGACGTTGCCATACATTGAGCATTCACTCAGATGTAAATTGTTGCTTGACTTCAATGTCCCTTTAGGCTGTCTTCCGGTGTATTTCAGTATGGATGACTTTTTTTTTTTCGAACATATCCGGCTTCAGCGCACCTTCGTTCAAATTTCCTCACTTCCCTGTCAAAAGAATAAGCGAATGTTCTACCTCAATCATAAGAAATCATGTGCCTCAACGAATAACTTGCTTTGGCCTCTGTTCTTATTGCGTTGTGTGTAGCCACGTTCGTGAGTATATATATCTGCTCGGAGCTATTGAACAAACTTAAGTTGTGAGTTGGTGCTCGTGTTGGTGGGATCATTTGTCTTTTCGGCTGCTTTGTTGCGCTGCTCTATATCAGCGCTGTTTGCGCACCGGGTGCAATGCGTTTCAATTCCGCACTTGAAATTCGATTATGAACATCTCGCGCTACGTTGGACCCTCTGCGATTTCGCGAAAAATGGGCAAGTTTTAAGTTATGCACTGCAACCTACAAAGATGCAATTATAAAATTGCCAATTAAAAAGTTTTTCAGACTTAGTCGAGTCACTTTAGCTGCCGGAAAGTATTTACGCCTCGACACAGAGTTCAAGTGCGAAGACGACATGAGGCCGACTGTCATAAAATTTTCGCTTTATAATCTCTATTTTCTAAAAACAAACATGCTGTATGCTTTGCGTCGACTTTGAGTGACAGCGAATCATTTGCAGTCATGCAATTTTAACATCAAGTCGCGCGCAGTGATGGCCGATACATAATAGAGGCACTCTCACTTTGTGCGGGTGCTATAGATAACAAACAGAATGAGCTGCTAAATTTAGTACCTATGGTAGGCGGTGAATGCGACACCTGGAAATAATTGCATACTGCATCCTATATGCCACCGTATCGGGCAGTGGACCGAATACAACCTACTCAACGTTTCACCTTTCATTTCACTCTCTTCCTCTGTCAGTTGTTATAGCACACGACGAACGATTTGAAACCCGCCGGGGATGACGAAGTATACAGTAAAAAACAGCTTTGTATATACAACTACCTAGTGCTCACAAAAACAGTTGTAAGAGAGGGCTTGACAGTCAGATTTAATGAAGTTCGATTCCTTCTGTTCCCGTACCATCTGTCGCTGTTATTGCGACGTTATCTTCAATAGGTGCCGCAAAAGATACTGTCTTAGTATTCCCAGTTAAAGATAAAGTTTCACCGCGCATTGGTGCTCAGTTGTGCAAAAAAATTTTTCTTCAACGTAAAAAAAGCAAAAAATTGGGAGCCTCTTTTTTTTTTGCGGAAAAAAAAATATCGCAGCTAGGTTAAGCTTGGCGTGTGTGTGTCTGAGCAATTCTTTCTTTCTTTCTTTCTTTCTTTCTTTCTTTCTTTCTTTCTTTCTTTCTTTCTTTCTTTCTTTCTTTTTTTTCTTTCTTTCTTTTTCTCTTTCTTTCTTTCTTTCCTATCTTTCTTTCCCTGCTTCCTAATTTTTGTTTCTTTTGTTGCTTCCTTCTTTCATTTCTTCATTTGTTCTCTCTGTCTTTCCTTATCTCTTCATTTCTTCATTGTGATGATGCTGATGATGCCTCCACTATGGCTCTTGCCCACTCAGGGGAATTGGCCAAGAATTCGGGATATGAAATTTCCTTCCTTCCTTTTTTTTTCTTTCTTTCCTTCTTTTCTTCCTTCCTTGCGGCCTCGTTGGTCAGTATGCCAGAGCTGGCACGAAGTCATTTTGAAGAATTTCTCACAGTCACAGTGTGAACTGTGAGCTCGTATTTCCTGGAACGATAATGTTTCTACACTTTCTTAGTTCTAGGGGCACGACACCCATTGGTAGCCATGATGCTCACCAAGATTGTGCTGGCGGTGTCGGCATTGCCGCTGTTGAGGGCAGCGTCGCCCGCCGTGGAGGTGACAGAGTTGCCGGGACTCGTCGAACCGATCAACTTCAGGCATTACTCGGGCTTCCTGCACGGTGCCGAAGGCCGAATGCTTCACTACTGGTACGTGCGCACGCGCGGTTATGTGCTCATCGTACGCGTCTCTACTCTTGATGATGTTCATCACCCTGATGATGATCATAACAATGAGGGCTACTTGTATGCATGGACGCCTACTCCGGGGGATTGGCAAAAAAAAGCGAATTGTGTATTGATAAAGGTGATCGCAAACGAAATGCATCAATGATTGATATGTGGGGTTTAACGTCACCATGATATGATTATGAGAGATGCCGTAGTGGAGGGCTCCGGAAATTTTGACCACGTGGGGTTCATTAACGTACACCCAAATCTTAGCCCACGGGCCTACAGCATTTTCACCTCCAAGTTTACCAATAAAAAATTATACCATAGTTAGAATAAATCAATCATTATAATTTAGAGATATGATATCGAAGCCGTCCCGATTCATTGAAAATTTCGCTGCAGTGGGACAAATATACCGGTGACAATGACCTAACGAGGAGGCTCCCAAAGAGAGCGAGGAAAGCGGCGTGCAAAACGCCTGAAGCGGTCGCTACCTGGGATTGGTGGCGCTGAGCGCGCTCTAAGCGCGAATTTCTTGAGCGAAATTTCGGGCACAGCTGCAAGGTTTGCAAGGTTCGTTCCAGTCGTCTGCACAAAAGAAGCAGAGCGTCCGGGGGGCGCTGTAAATATGTACGTAAAACTGACAGAGACAGCGGTGAATGTCCAGCTACCAATGACCAGTCAGTCACAACGACCATGCTGAGATGAAACTATGAAATGGAAACGTTCTAATGACAGTGTGCCTTGCACCGAATCTCTCTCGAGGCAGCCTAGCAAACTACATTTATATAGGCATGCAAAGCTGATATAAAATGCAAGAATGGCCCCCTTCATATATGGTAATATTAATGTAGATATCATGAACGACGACTTGCTTGTGTTGCACGTGGCATCGCGATATGCTCCGAGATGCGTTTCATTTGAGTATAAACAACCGACAACAACTAGGGGAATGGGTATAAACCTCGTCTTTGTGAACTTCAGGTTACATCCTGTCCAATAACTTTTGGCTCTTGGTTGCATTCTTAATAAAGCTGTCTTAATGGAAGGAAAACGAAGTCCGTCCCTCAACACCGTGTACCACCGATAAAACAACATTGCTATACTGAACACGCATGTAGTCACTCATTTGCATGCTCGAGTGGGCAAGAGAGAGAGAGAGAGATAAAGATGCAAGGAAAGGCAGGGAGGTTAACCAGACGCACATACGGTTTGCTACCCGGCGCTGGGGAAGGGATAAAAAAGAGAAAAGAGGTTGAAGAGAGATGAGAAGGTACACACAATCACGAGCACACTCGGGGAGCACACACAGTCTACAGGCGGTCGCTCAGGTTTGTTGACTTTAGGTAAAGTGGGCAATGTATAGGAGATTCATAGTTATCTGAATGATCTCCGGGAGCTTCGTCGACTCATCATTATTCACTTCGTGGATATGTTGTGATTTCTTTATTCAGGCATTGTAGTTTGGCTCTGCTTGTATGGTCGTTTGAGTGAGTATTCCGTCTTATTTCTTGTTCTTTCTTTGGTAATTTCTTTTTTATCCTAAGTGCTCAACCGGTTCATGTCAAGATATGGTCTTTTTCAATGGTTCCTATTAGTACATGCGGGCTACTTATCACAAAGAAAAGTTTATTAAACCATTATATAAACAAGCAGTAAGTCGCTTATAAACTGAATGTTTAAAAAAATTGTCACGGGCATAGAAAGGTACCTCAGGCACAGATGCAGAAATGACGCAGAAGGGATGAAGACGACGATGTTGTGGGGCCGTGTCTGGACTGCCCTGTTGTCCTGCATTCTTGCCCATGGCGTGCAGTGTTAGGCCAACCGGCTTTAACTTATTAAATACTTCTTACTACATATCTTTGGTGGAGGGGCTGGGTAACATTCCGACTCTGGATCTCCGTAGCGGACGTCATCTTCGTCCAGCCACGATGCCTGAAGGCAGTGCGCCGTGCGTTCAGTCTACGCCGGCTCCGTCACCTGTGATTCCTTCCCATCTTCTCGATCCAGGTGCATTTTGCGGCACCGACACAACTGACGTTGACGAGTGGCTCACCTTATACGAGCGCGTCAGCAAGCAATACAGGTGGGATGAGACGCTTATGCTGGCCAACATCATCATTTCACCTGCGAGGTACTGCACGCGCCTGGTACGAGACGCACGAGGAAGACCTGACGTGTTGGGACGTGTGCAAGCAGAAGCTCCGTGATTTGTTCGGCCGGTCAGTTGCTCGACAAATAGCAGCCAGGCAGGAACTAGCGTCATGAGTTCAATCTTCCACCGAGTCGTACGTCACCTATATCCAAGACGTTCTCACCTTGTGTCGGAAGGCCGACAAAGACATGACCGAACTAAACAAGGTCAGCAATGTGTTGAAGGGCATAGCCGACGATGCCTTCAACATTCTGATATGCAAGAACTGTACCACCATTGACTCAATTGTCAGTGAATGTCGGCGGCTCGAACAAGCCAAAAGCAGGAGAATCACTCAACGTTTTTTCCGACTCCCAAACACCGCTGCGACTTCTACCTGCGAGGATCCTGTGACACCACGTTCATTCGTGAATCCTTCAAACATCACAACAATTGTCCACCAGGAGCTGGAAGCCATGGCTCTTTCCGCTTATCAACCCCCTGTGTCTGACAACTCGGTCCCAATATCTCTTATTCACACAGTAAAAATTTTTGCACCCAAAAGGGTGTAAAAAGGGTGCTTTTACGAGAAAGCACCCTTTGCAACACCCTTTAACACCCATAAATGGTCGATTGAAAAAAAAGCACCCTTTTGTTTGGGTGCTTGCCTCGATAGCACCCTAAAATAGGCTCTAAGGGTGCTTTTGTGCCTGAGAAGGGTGTAGGTGCCGATTCATCGGATGGAATATGCAGCATAAGAAGAACACATAATTATAATATTTGGGATTTTACGTCTCAAAAACCTCGATATGATTATGAGGGTCGTCGTAGTGGAAAGCTGCAGATTTTCACCATTTGGTGTTCTTTAATGAGCGCTCATATCGCACAGTGCAAAGGCTTCCACATTTTCGCCTCCGCCTTAATTCGACTGCCACGGCCGGCATCGAACCCGCGACCTTCGGATTGGCGGCTGAGCAGCGCAGCTACTGCACGAATATGTGGACCTTGCGTTAAATGACGGCCTAATTGACTTAGAATGTGTGAAGGTGCTCTCCGAATACAGCAGAATGTCAGCAGAAGCAAATCGCGTTTCATCTATAATGGCAATTAACTGCAATCCATGTTACGAAAGCTTTCCTTAGCGTTGGTTATAAGCTACATGTTTGCTGTGGATTATATACAGGAACATAATGTTCGCCCGAGTATGGGTGTGTGTGCGTGAGCCTGCGCATGTATGGGTGTGTGTGCGTGAGCCTGCGCGTGTAAGCGCGATTGTGTGTACACCCGTGCATGTGTGCGTGCGCGTGTATGTGCGAGTCCGTGCTTGTGTTAGCGTGCCTGTGCACATGTGTACGCCCATGCATGCGTGCGTTTACGGTCGCGTGTGTGTGTTGCCGTATGTGTGTATACGTGTATGTGTGTGCGCCTGTGAATAAGTATGCGTGTGTATCAGCCCGTGCGCCCTCAAATTTCGTGTGTGTGTGCGGGGGGAGGGGCACTGCTTCTTAGTGTTTAAGGTCCCACACCTGTTCAGACTGGGAGTCTATATGGGAGGTGGCTTAAGAAATGGCGGTGGTCAACGCACTGTACACGGACTATTCAGTACATGGAAAACAGCTGCACACTTTCGTACCAAATCATTGCTTACGAACTTGCTGTGGTAGCTGATTAGGTCCGCTGAGGCGCTTCTACGCTCGAAAACGTGGGTTATGACCAATTCACACGGAAAGCTGTCACTGCACTTATGCACAACCATCGTTTATATTAACAACGTTTAACAAGAACGTGCCCTGCCTTTGCTACAGGTGCTTAGCTAGCTCATTGGGCAACCATATGGAATTATGTGCTGATCATGTGGTCAGCAAAAAGTTTGTTATAACAACCTCGGCACGTTTCGTGGTGCGTGACAAGCCTTGTAATAAACATCCGCGACTGTGGATTAATTTGTTCCAGCTTCGACTACGCATTCAGTGTTTGCGGCACCATACGCGGAATAGCCAGACACAGACAATGCAAAAAGAAATTCCTCTGGAAAAAGGTGTAGCGATGCTCTCCCGCTAATGCCACCGAGGACGAAATAATTATTGTTTCTGGCCATTCCATGGTGCACTTTGTTTTCCGCAAGTTTTGCTTCACTATTTTTCGCCCACTGCAATCGCATTCCGTCAAAATACTCAAAGAACCCGAGGCTGGTAAATAATCTGCGTCGCTGTGCGACTGGCTGGGAAGAGAGTTGCCGTTTACAAGGAGTCATTCCGCGCCGAACGGCCGCCCGCCGTATGCGCCATAGCGTTTGCCTTTCGGCGCCGCCTTGGCGGGTTTCGCGCTCCTCCCCCCCCCCCCGCTCACCCCGGCCAGCGTTGCTTCCACAACGGCGGCGTAGATAAGCGAATAGTTGCGTCACCGAACACCTGCGTGGACAGCTGCAGCGCCGCCACGCCGCCGCCAGTGCCTCCTCCCTCTCTCTCAACGTTGCTCCCTCTGTCTCATCGTCTTTCAAATGCGTTGCGTTGGTCTGGGGTCTTGGTCGCTGTGTGTGTTCTAGCGAACAGGCGCATATTCAATGGTGGTCACGCATGACACCGTGTTCGAAGTGACGCTCGGATTAAGGAATATTCATGGAGTGGCGGACAGGGACAACGTGGGCCTGTTAACGGTGAGTGTACTGTTTTCGTAGGTAGTAATCATACAGCGCTAGCTGGGCGCCTGCAGCAGCTCTGCCGAAGTAGGCTGCCAGCCATTTACAACAGCATGCGTTCGCGGGCCTGTTGCAGATGCCCGATTAAACGTGTGACTTAACGAGTTCACACTGCTATGCGCGATGTTGCGTAAGTGCCTG